AATATATCATAGCATTAATTATGTCTGGAAAATGCTACACAAAAATTGGGATCATTACTTTCTGCAACATCTTTGGTCTTCCCATTGAAAGCTGTGGGGTTCCTGCATCAAGTCTGGCAGCAGCACAGCTCCGAATATGATGATTCTCCCACTGTCTTAAAGAGATTATCAAAAGCTGAGTGCGATATTAATCATGGTGATGTCAGTGGGCATTTCCTTAAAATTTTCTTGATCTGCTGAAAAGAATCTTTCTGCCTGGACAAAGTCACCGAGTTAGAGATGTGTATATTAGCTTACGTTATGTGTAATAGCCAAGGGTTGGTATTAGCAGACAATTTAGGTACCCACTAGACTCTTGCTTACCTGCCCTGAATTCCCACTGAAGACAGCAGGGGTTGATTCAGTCCCTGCTGAGTGTGGCCACTACCAGAAGGAGAATTAAGCTTTAGAAGAGGATTAAAAAAAATAAGGCCAGGGATACATTTTCAAAGCAGGGGAGGTAGCCGCTTAAGTGCAGAGCTACTAATGGCACTTCAGAGAATAAAACTTTGAAAGTCTCTCTTGAAAATACGCCTACTCCCGCAGCCCCACTTGTCCACTGCAGAAACCGACCATCCCATCCCGGTGCCAGCTGGTGGCATTCAACACAGTCGGTCTGAGCTGACAGTCTGCAATAAGACAGCTTCCTCACAGGACAAAAGCATTCTTGCCACTACAGTACCAGCTCATATTCATATGTTATGCATACAAATGTATGTGAGCATTATTGCTAAGTGTTGAGGAAATGAATTGCATTGAGTACTGAACCTTAAAACACTCCTAGTACATTACAGCATTCCCAAGAATTAATTTCTTTCTGTCTTCAGGTTAATGAGGTGAAAACAAAAATATATGGTCTCAGGCAACAACAACAACAAAAATGTTTATCTAAAACACACAATCTTTCCAATTGTCGGATTTATTTTACTCTTTTTACAATGCTAATATGTAATGTCAGGCTGCTTATTTCAGGGAGAAGCAGAAGGTTTATTTTTCCAGATCTGAATCGGATGATGTCTTCATTTAATTCTGCTTGTTTTTCCCAGAGTGCATTCACCCTTACCTGCTGAATGGAGTCTTCTCAACTATGGAAAGGGAAAGCAAATTGAATTTTAATCAGAGGGTTTCTATTCTGATCACTGCTGGTCTACTTTCACTTTATAGGTACCAATAAGGTGTTAAAGAGAATATCACCGATGGATTTATTTTGATTGATTGCATCTGCCCACTCTCTTGCATTTTAAGGTACCTCATTACTGTACGTTCAAGAATTTCATTTCTTAGCATGTGTAATAAGCCTTAAACTTTAGCTAGCTAATTGGTTCAGCTGGCGTTTCTGTGCCTTAGCTGAAAAGCCAATGAAAAGAAGCACAAAAAAGAAGAATATTAATAGTTCCTACTTTGTAAAGATAAGCTTAGCAGCCAGTTTATACTTTAATTAATACACAGAAAGCAAAGCATGCTGCCTTAAAAACAGAGATTACCATCAGATTAAAGACTAGCTTGCAATCTTTTTTTTTGTATCCCACACACATGTAGCTATTCGTCTCTCTTACAGATTCTTTACCTCTGAGCTTGCACATTGTGAGAAAAAGACAACAACTTGTACATTAAATTCTGTAGGAGTGAAAAATGTACAAAAACACTTTAATCATCATCTTTTACTAGAGGATCCTTTCTAACAATTACCCTTACTAAAAGTAAAATTATTGTTCAATTTCTTTCACCAAAGATATTTGCAAATGGAGAAAAAATGAAGCAGTATGGGTTTTGATGTTCCGATGATTCTAGTGGTGATAACCAAAATACAGTAGTTTGAATACCTTGGTCTACAGTGAGTTAAATGTTGATAATATGCCACCAAAATATAATTTTGCTGTAAGATACTTTTAGGCATTTTTTGCTTCTTGCAGGTAGTGGCTCAAATGAGCATCTGGCCTGGAGTCAGCAGCTCTTCCTGCTACTTCTCCACACACTGGGAATTTCGGTCTGGCTATGTGCTCTGCAGTCAGAAATGCTACTGCACCTGACCAAGCCACTGATAATCTAAATGGCACTGTGTAGGAAGAGAGAGCATGTGCAGATGGGCAGAAATCTGACTCCTGGTATTCATGGACCATCTTACAAGAGAGACCAAGGGGCAGACACAGACCTGTCAAGCTCACACAGTTTATGTATGAAGCATATATCTGCCCCCTCTCTGATGCTTCCATGTCATGCAACAGGCAATTTACACATTCCCAAACCCATGTTCTCTCTTTTCCTCCCTGGACACCCTGCCATACACAGATGATAAAGTCTGCTGACAAGTTTTATCTGGCACGTGGACTCAGAAAGCAGGAGTCATTAGCTGTGCACCATTCCCTCACTACAGCTGCATCCACACGTCACGTAGCCCAGGCGAAAGGAAATAAATCCCCTTCTGCATGACCAGACATGGAGGAGGACACTCTCCCAAAACACAACCTATGTCAGATTTGGGCTAAAATAAAATTCCCACCCCCATGTCCCCCAGAAAAAACAAACCAACCCTGCCTCTGCTGCCAATTCCTGTCCTGGCCATAGGAACCATACGTGCAGTGCTTCAAAGGCACTGTGCCACAGGCATGCCACCACCTGCTGAGAGCCAAGACAGTTTTCTACCAGTAGGCCTGCCTGAAGCACCTCCAAGGAGCTGAGATTTTGGAGAGGGAAGCATTTGTTTTTTCTTTTCCTATTAGAGGTAAGAAATTATTATCTTCTTATCTGGATCAAAGCGGTGCAATGACCCACACTAACCTATGACCATCTTGGGCGGCCAAGGCCAGTCCTCCACACCTCAATACCTCACATACAAGGCAGTCAGCATCAGGAGCTTGCTGGTCAGGCCACCGGGGAAAAACTTCCGTTAGATTCATTTCTAGCGAACAACCCCTCTGGAAAATGTATTTTCTTGCTTTTCCTACCTGGAAATGCCAACTAGGATTTTTAATGGGATATTTGACTTGCTTGAACAAATGCAGGCTTCATTAGTTGTTATTTTTTCGCAGTGATAGGCAGTGGTAAATCCCACACTAGACTTTTGTGACTGTGTCTGATAAATGTTGCCTAGAGCTCTAGCACTATCTTTTAATAAGCACAAATCTTGCTGCTACACTGTTTTCTTGTTCTTTCTTCCAAAAGAGAAGTATCTGCTGATGTCTTATGCTTCCCCCCATCTTTCCTTTGTTGGTAGAAAGGAACATTTTTCTAAGATACCTGAGCTGAACGGATATTATTTTCTATGCTTTAAAAAAAAGGAACCAAAACAACACAAAACAAACTTTGTCTTTATTAGCTGACTCGTTTCTTAAGACACCATAATGACAGTAACTGTTTGTAATACTGGTGCAGCCCAGAAACCCTGCTATCAACACAATAGGCATAAAATGTTGCTTTGCGGTGCCTGTGGATCATTATACCTTCTTACATGTTGCAGGATGGAAGTTACTGATGATTTCTGTCTACCACCTAACGTCAGAGTTCACCTCTTGAAAGCATATTTCTTTCTCTAGTGCTCTATAGTTTTATGGACTGATACACACTGGGAAAGTTCCAGAGGGCAAATCTGCAATATTGTACCACTTCACAACTGAACAAAAAATGTGCCTTTTCCCCCTTCCTGCTACGGAAGTGTTAGAGAGCTGTCTTTTAAAAATGTGAGCTCTCCAGAGCAGGTTTATAGGACAAAGATGAGAAGGATGAAAGTTCTTATTTACTGCAAATAGTCTTCTGTGTCTGTCTTGCAAAGAACATGAATTTTTTGTACATTTACATCATCCCTCAGAACACAAGATGGAAATAAAACTTTGGAGAGAAGTGGTGAGTCCCACCCCTGTAGGCAGCGTTAGCGAGACAGTCCTTACAGTAAGTTGGACATGTTCCTTGCCTTGCACTGGCCCTTTCACTTTGGCTTTTCAGTGGCACTCAGTTATCCTCAACGGTAGCACAAGGCTTACAAGTTCAGCTTTTCCTTGGTTGGGAGAAAAAGCAGGTGAGCATATCTCCAAATGTCACTTACTTGTGGCACTAAAATGAAGCATCTGTCAAATTAGACGATACAAGGATGGCCCTTGCTACAATTTAAATTATCACCACTTGGCATTTGAGTTGACACCTGCCTGGGAGGTGAAAGGAAGCTCCGGTACTGCCTGCAGCCTTACGGTGGCACTGACATCCACATGCTGCTCCTCCGCAGCAGAAGCAAGACCCCGCAGAGGTCTCTGCTGCACGGCTAGTCTGTCTGGGCTAATTCAGGAATCCCAACACTCAACAGCACCTGGGTATGTGCCTACACACCAAGCTTTTCTGAATATAAATAACAACCACATATATAGATTCTTCACCTTATGGGTTAGCATTGACTAAACAGAAAAGCAAATGATCCAGCTATCTGGGAATATCTGAGGAATATAACTTTACAAATGGATTAGCTTTTGTACCTCAAGCATCGACATTGTGTGCTTCATACTGGCACTGCCAGATGTCAGCAGGTATTTCAGTGAAACAGCGTCAGGCGATGACGCATGGCCCCGCATCCCAGAAAGCGGGTAAATACGCCCAGAGGAGGTGAATGTTAACTCACCATGCTAACATTTGCATCTCATTTACAGCTGGCTTAAGTATCACTGCACAACCCTACACTATGCTATGCAGACATGTCCCTGATCTTCTTCAAGGCTCCTTCTGCTGCTCATGGGGTTTATGCTAGCAGAGACAGCAGGAACCAGCTGCCATTGAACTTCAGCAGGTACCAGTGCCTCTGCATTGAATTATAGGTATGGTTATGCACTTTTGCCACCGGATTTCCTAATGAAGGCTGCTGTATGTCATCAGAGCAGACATGTGTGCCAGTCTTTGCACCACGAGTGAATGTTCTGACTGATTTCAGTGAGCTACAGCAGAGGCTGGAGCCTCCGGTCACAGCCACCACAGGTGCCAACATGGCGGCCCCGCTCCCCTCAGTCGGCCACCAGGGAGCAGCCACCGTTGACCAATCCCCGGCCCTACCTGGCCACCGAATCCAAACGGACGCCATGTCCACCCAGTCTGAACACAGGCGGGGTGCTGTGGCCACCCAATGGGAGCAGGTGCCGCTGCCTGGGAGGCAATGCAGGGCCAGCAGGGTGGCTCCCTCAGCAGGCTGAGGTGGGGAGGAAAATCCTCCTCTCCTCAGCTCTTGGTAGGTTTGTAGGTTGGGATTTTAAACCGGGGCCATTCAAATATTATGAGAGTTTTCTTCCAGTTGTCTATTATGAAGTAGTCTTCCATTTCATCTTTCCCTCACAGCCTATAGAGAATCTCAGAGGGCAACAGATCCAACACTGCTACGATAAACAGTGCGTCACACTGAAGTGACTATCGTGATTCATGCAACAGGGTAGTTTAATAACAGATTTTAATTCATTATCATTATTTTTAAAATTAAAACAAGACTATTACTGAGTAATCTGATTATTACTCATTGTTGATAGTCTTTAAGAAATCTTTTTCACTTGCTAGGTTGAGGAACCTAAAAGAATAGACCATGTTCAGATATGGTGAGCTGAGGTAAATGTACTGTGACTGTTCAGCACCTTTGGGAGAAATCAAGGTAAGTCAGGCTCTAGCACCCTCTGAGCAGCCTGCCTGATCTCCCCAGAAGGGCAGGTCTCTGCCTAGTGCTCACCTGCACTGCTTCTTGACAAAAGCAATTTTTCATCACTTACCTGTCCCACATTAGTAATTATTCATAACAACTGCTCAGCTGAAGTCGGTAACACTACAAAAGCTGTAGGTGTTCACCACATGTGTCTTAAAGGAAGTAACATTTGGAAGAAAGAAATGCATCCTCATATTGGCTTCAGTTGTCTCGTATCCTCCATGAACCTACTTTATGCTCTTTCTTGCTTTTTATAAAATCTTTTTTGCAAAAAAAAACCAGAGTTCAAACACAAGGACATCCAAGCAGCTGTCTCTTTGTAAATGTGTTCTCTGGATTCACTGTAGCAAAAGCTATCTCCAGTGAAACTTAGTTTAATACATTAATGTGGATCCATAAAACAAAGTCACACATTGTGCAAGCAAAGTTGTTTATGACACTGGAATCTTACTCATTACAGCAATAAATAGTACAGTATGTATCACTGGGAAATAATATAAAATCAGTTAATCCACAGGAGCAATGAAGAGAACTGGAACAATTCTGCTATTACTCTAAGGCAGTAATTTCATAATGGCAGCCTTCACAGTTTCACTTTTCGAAGCATTAAGTCTCTACTCATTTGATAATAATTTGGTGAAGATTCCCTTCTGCTGTTTATCATGTGAGTGAAGCTGCCCCTTGCTAGTTCAAACCAATGGGATTATAACTCTTCAATAGTCTCAGCATGACACTAGCAAGGTTTCAGCTTAATCCGGGGCCACAGTTCAGTCAGTACCAACTGCTTCAATTTCTCTTGCAGTTTACTTAGGCTTAATGCTGGCAAAGTGCCACACCCTCGCTGCCTGAACCTGATTACACTACTTTCACAGCATTACGTGGAAAGCAAAATCCACAGCTCTCCCTTACATGACTGTTTTACATAACACAGGCATAAATCAGGACGAACAAAACTGCTATTACTTAAGAAGAAAAAAAAAAATAACAAACCTCTCAGAGTGCTTGCTTGCCAGCTGATTTATTTCCACTGCAGCTACAGACATTTTCCTAAATGGGAGAGGAAAAAGTCTCAAAATACATATTTGTATCATTTCTGGTCCCAGGCATAACTGGGCCAGGTCCTCTACCTCTCCCCACCTCTTGTCACTTGTATAGGATCCAGGCTGTTTTCCCCTAATTTAGGGCTGGATTATGACACTGATGTGCAGGCAGGTTTTGGGTTATCAGTACCCTGGAAAAAACCTGCAAAACATTATGCTCAATGTGCTAATTACTGTCCCAGGATCTGTAATGCGCAGGTGAACAGTTCCCCCTGCTGCACCAAGCTATGCTTATGTCTCCTCTAACCAAACACTTCTCCTGCTTAATAGGCTATCCAGTAGAAGTACTGGTCTGGGAATGTCTTTGCATTAGCTTATGGCAGTCTACTCTAAAGATACAGCTGTACCTAGTGACATTTAGATAGTCAAGGGGATAGTCTCCTTGCATTTATTCCCTTCAGTCCTAAGACCAAACATGATCTAGAAGATAATACATAGTATGCCGGTATTTGGTGTATCTTGCCAGGAAACCATCACATTTAAAAATATTCTCCAATGTTTTAGGAATCTGTTCAGTGAATACTAAATTTAGAATTTCTAGAAGCAGCTTTTGTGCTCACACCGAGAATGAACTTAGCAACATGAAAAGATGTGGCTGCAGCTGTTCTTTTCAGGTTCTGCAGTATCCGCCTCAAACTCAAATCAGTTTAGGAGCTCAAATGTGCAGCATCTGAATTTGGAAAATTTTCCCAATTGTCAAGCTCAGAATAATAGTACAACTATTTCTAGTACTGGGTACCTTGTTACTTCAAAATATTCTGTATATTCACAGTGAACTGTGTGATTGTGAAAAGAGCTGTGGAACTTAAGTTACAAGTGAGCTGTAAGTACAAAAATCAAGTTTGCTTTTCAGGTATAATCGCGATACAGCTGGTTATTAGGGCTGCACCCATATGCACATCCAGTGCTCTTCAGTCATCAGATGGTCCAGGAACTCCCCAGCCAGGCCTCTACACTACATCCAAGTTTTTGTGCTACATGATGAAGGTCAATGAGGAAATAAAGATAGACTTTCCTCATCTCCTGGTACTTTGAATGCTCTTTTAATGTTCCACTGACTCTTCTGTTGTTCCTTTCTAATTTTAATGGCCATCTCTCACTTATATCCCTTGTGGAGGCAAAGCACCAAGGATGGTTTGGGGTGGGCTTATGCAGTTATTCTTTTTTTAATGTCTGAATACAAATTCAGTAGAGATATTAAGCAGATGTATAAACAATGGCACCCATTTTACACAGATGTGTGCAGTTTTGGCACTCTGTTTTATTGGAGCAGTTAACATTTGCAGTGATAGAAAAAAAGAGCTCTGTTTGCATTTGAAGATGGTTTATATTTCCTCTTTAAAGAGTAAGGCTACATAAGGGCTTTTCTAATGACAGTTTTTCTTAGTACATCATATTGCTTTTGTTTTCACTCCGAGGGCCACTGTCATTTGGTGCTCTGTGAACAGGATTTACTTTAGCCATCCTGATAAAGCTCCATACAGTAATAAATGCATTTCTTGCAAATAACCAACCGATCTGAACTGTTCAGAAAGCAAAACTCTTCATGAACTGGAAGCATACAACCCCAAATATTCAAAAACATTTGTCAGTAGAATAATCAGACACTTACCAGTAGTTTCAGAAAACTGGCTGTTGCTGCCTCAAGTTCTCCTCCTTTTGACCTTCAGAACTCCCAATGTGAAAACCAATCATTACTATTATCAGCATTTTTCTGTTTACCTGTATCGTTTGCAACTGCCTGGAGCTTCTAATTTGTCTGATTGTCCTCAGCTGGAAAAAAAAACCAAACAGCTACTAAAAACCCCTTTTGATACCAGCCTGCCTGTTCATCTCTCAGAGGTTTTTAGGCATCTTCTCAAATAATTGTATTCCATTTAAGGAACATTCAGAGAGGAGTGCTTAGGGCCATTGTGAGACAAATAGGCACCCATGGGAGGATATTAATTTGATTTTCTTCACCGGCTGAAAGAAGCCAGAACAGGTAAGTGAAAAGGCCCCCCATTGCAAGCTTTGGATTAAGCAGAGGATTTGCCCTGTTGAGAAGACCTCGCTTTGATCAGATCCTTGTGCTTTCACCATATTTGGACCTCTTCGGTGTCCCCGTGTTGTGCTTGCTGTGGTCTGTGCACTCCCTCAGCTTTAACAGCTAGTTTCCAGTATGGAATACAGCCACTCTGCTACAGTAGAAATGTGAAGAGAGCGTGTTTGATCTAAAAAGGTTAAAGTTCTATTATCCAAATAAATGTGTATTGTTTAGAAAAAGCTTTGAGAGCTTCAAGGAGAAAAATAACTGAAATTTTGTTCCTTCTGTCTCCCACTGTGGATTAAGTTTTATAGTCTATAAATTGTCTAAGAATCAGCCAAAATAAAAATGCAGCTATTTCTGTGTGTATAGAACTGAAGATAAGGGGAATGTGTGGAAAGCAGAAGGGATTGTATACTGTGTTATGAGAGCTACCTAAGCTTATAAAAGGAATGTATATTAGTCAAACTTTGCCAATGGAGTAAGGGAAATGGAGTTTATTGGATGCACACTCCCAGACAATGTGAGAATGAATGTGTCTGCTGCACACCTAGGTGTGCTTCCAAGCCCACAAATGCAAAAGCAGAAGTGTAATTTGTTACTGTGGTTTGCATGCTGATTTCAAATGGGCTACACTAGCTGCTATTCCATAATCACGTTAAACCACCATTGACGCTGAAAGAAACATCCTTCCTTTCTTTCAGCACCAGACATTTGTTCCTGCTCTGTTTCTTACTTGTGGTGGTATAACCATTTCTCTAGCTATCTAGGGAATTAACCTGGAGAACTAATTCTGGTTAAAACTAACCCTTTTTTTTTCTTGGTAGTTTTAAGCAGTTCCATTTGCTCAGTCCAGTTTAGTACTACCAAAATACTGGTCTGTATTTGCATGATCAGAATTTCTCTTTTGCAACATAAAGTAATGGAAATGCTTCAATAATGATCAGCAATACCTATCTTGAGATATTTTTCAGGGAGTGAAATTTCAAAGGTGGAGGAATATGACAGATGTTTGACTTTATATCCCGTTCTCAGGCTTCATCAGAGGGTTTCGGGTGGGGCTGCCATTATTAAGGAACCTACAAACTCTAGAATCCTTCTGAAAATGCAGAGTAAACTTTGCTTTACTATTAAGTAAATTTAAATGCACATTTACATGATTAAAGGCTGGCAGTGGAGTCAAAAAGAAAGTTCACTGTCACTAGAAAGAATTTTAGAAGGAGACAAAAGCTGGATTCAGAGCTCATGCACGCATTTGTAACCCCACTGCCATTGATTAAAAACTGTCTCAAAGCTGTTTCTTGGAATCGTAAAGATTTATGTGATCAGAGCCCTGTTTACTTGCAACCGAAGATGACAGCAGCAAGAAGCAGTCTCAGACTGATAAAGACTATGACTGACTCTCATCAGGAAATGTCTCCCACAATTAAGAATGCATATTTTATGCCTGGTTCATAATTTTGGAGGATTGTTTTAATGCACAGGTATACGCTTTTCCTCCAATTTTTTTTTCTTCCTTTTTTTATCAATATATTTTACTTTAGCAACCTGAAATTCCTATTTTTTTCTTTAAAAAACAGCCTTACAGAGACATGCTGGGTTCTGACTGAAACTGATAAAACCACAGAAATTCAGAGATAATGGTAAAATTTGCCTTATGTATTTTTATTCTTCTTCCTCTGCCAAGTTTGAAATGCAAATTATGGGAACCCGCACCGTGTAGCGCTTAAAGATAAACAAATGCAGTTTCAAGTCAAAAATTTCATAAGAGAC